ATTATTATTATTATTATTATTATCTAGAAAAGACTGAGGCTTACCAAGCTGAGACTGAGAAGCTAGAGAAGGCAGGTGATTACAGTGAGGGAAGGTTAGACCCTCCAGTCTTGATTCATTCTTCATCATATGGTGATTCATAATGAGACAAATCAAGATGTGTTCAGCTGTTCATTGACATACAAAGGCCAAAACCTGGATGAACTGCTACTGCCAGACCCAACCTCAGTGCATCTCTCCTGGGTTCCTCCTGACGTTCAGGCGGGATTTTGTTGCTATGAGGAATATTGGGAATATCCCACCAGCTGAGATTGCTACCTGAAGACCAGCCACTATTATACTTTCTCTGGTGTGATATGAGAAGAATTCCTAACCTATGGTGTAGGAGTGGGTGTTTGTCATTAAGTGTTCCCCATGTTATGCCCAGATGCTCTTCGGAGGAATGGGCTAGGAATGAGCCATCAGGGAGATGGTGATTGTGAGTCCTTCAAGAAGTACTGTGAATGTGTATATAGAGGCCAATGACGTCATCAACAAAATGAGGGAACTATTAATGGAGGAAGACTCGGAGCTATGTCAGCAGGACCTCAACGATTGGTTGACATAATCAAAGACGTCAACTAGAAAAATTGGCAAATGTGGAATTTTGATGTGTCATATTCTAAAACCACATAGTTATGTTTTGCATTTTCATGTGTTTGCATTTCTGCAATACACTACTGGAAAATATGGCCGTTTTATGTTCTCAGTCATCCAAGTGATGATGGTCTTAAGAGCTTTAAAAAAGGGGCAAATGGACTTCTTTACATTTGTGAAGATGTTTCACCTCTCATCCAAAAGACTTCTTCAGTTCACAAAGGAGCCCTCTCAAGTCAGGCTTTTTGGAGGCTCCTTTTATCAAGCTGGTAAGACTGCTGACAGTCTTTGGTTCCATAGCCAATCTGTAGCTGCCACCAAGCCATTGGACGGTTTACTCTATTATAAATACTGTTATACACATTATACAATGAAGGCATCACGGACGAGCAAAGAAGGTCCACGTCCTGGCTAGTTGCAGCAGTAAATACCCCTTGATATACTCTACCTGATGCTCAGCAGATTAGCACCTTCAATGAACTAGTGAAGGCAACCACGTGGCACCTTCACGGGGTGGCTTTAAACACTGAAGAGACCTCGATAGTGGACGAATTCTGGGAATCAGAGGCCAGCATCTTGCAGTCTGCTTAATGAGACAGCTTTCCTGAAGAAATTGAGTGCAGGTGGGAGAACAGGTGGGAATCGGGTCCCTTAATCAAACTGCTTGATGACCTTGGACCAACAATATGATGAATCACTTCAGCTGATACGGGTGGGTGGTTGTCTATGGCACTGTCAAAGTCTGGAGGATGATTTCCCCTGTAGTCCTTGACTTGAGATGTGGTGGCAAAGCTGTTAATCAGACACGTAGAGTTTAATGTGAAACACCCTGGTGCAGAGGGCCTCTTTGCTGAACTGAGGACAAAGCTTTGGATCCTTTGTGGCTGTGAGGCTGCTAGAAGAGAACAGCACTCTTGTTCTGTTTGCCAAAGATGGAGAGCCCAACCAATCAGCCCAAAGACCCTGTATCCTGCTTGGCTCTGACTTCATATCTCAACAGAAATGTACTGTTTTGGACCACTGCAGGTTAAAGTTGGCCGTTGGCGTGAAAAACATTGAGGTCTGCTTTTCACATTAGAAGGTGGTGACAGGAAGTTACAAGAAACTTTCAAAGCCCTCAATCCTTCCCCACAGACTTAGCTGTCGGAGCACCAAATACAATTGCACTGCAACCCACCAGAGCTCCTGAATTTGGAGGCCCCTTGGAGAGCAAAATCAGTACTTTGAGCACTGCCCTGACTGCAACCCTGGGCTCAGAAGTCATCAGCCACGAAGTGTTAATATTCCTGGTTGAGATTGAGGGCATTCCTAACATTAAGCTTGACAGACCCAGATCCAGCCAGTTTGTGGCTGATGGGGCAGTCCGCGCCTTCAGCACCGTAGGCAGTACATCATGATTCAGGGCGGTTTAGACGTAAACACTGAAGGGCCTGTCAAGTGCTGTCTGACTGCTTCTGGACAGGGTTTCTGCACCACTATCTGGGGGCCCTGCAAACTTGGTTTAAGTGGCAGTGAGATACAGCCTCTCTTCAGCTGGATAATGTCATAATTGTCGATCCCCAATTAACCAGAGCTTCATGGCCTGATGGAAAGATTAGCGAGGTGTTTCCTGAAGCCTTTTTCACACTGCAGTGGTTGAAGTGGGGGACTGTACCTATGTTGGACAAGTGTCACCCAGACTTGGTACTGTAGCAGGTTTTTTGGCAGCTGCTCTGAAGATGTAGCAGGACATGCTATTTGCAGGCCAGGCCACAATAGACAGCGGCAGACTGCACCCAATGCAATTAAATCAGTTATAAGCAATAAAGCAACATGCTGCCAGTCTATTCTGTCTTGTGTTTGATCAGATTCCCAGTTGATTTACTCACTGTGTCCATGTATTATATCATTAATCCTGGTTTTTCCATAAAGACAATACTCGCTCTTGCTCCACACTGGCCAACTGACCGCCAGTGGTCACAGACCTGGTTCTTGTCATTGAAGCAACCATTTCAAAGGCAATGATATCGCAGGTTCACTGTGCATGGTTGTAATCATTTTGGCCATGCCACAGTCCCCACCCACTGTTTTCCCTAGTGAGAGAATAGCAGATTAAAACAAGCTAAAGATGCTAGTTGTGGACATGTGAACAGTAGAAGTTCACAACTGTTTCAGAAGCTGTCCTTTGCACATATATGGTACAGGAAGAACTTGTATGGGAGGGGGTTTCACAATAAAAGCTACCAGGTTGTGTTTTTGGCACTTTGGTCATGTGTCTACTTGATCAGTTATTTCTACTCATCCCATTAACTGTTGAAGTATGTAGCTATGCAATGTATTCTGGAAACTTCTCCGTCCCTGTGCTTCTGTTACTGTTTTATAATTTGGTGGTGTGAATGATTTATACCTGTAACTGCCACAGGAGTCTGCTGACAAGAGAAAAAAATAAATAAAAACCGCCAGTCAGGTCTACTTTTATTTAAGAGCAGAATATGAATTTGCGTTATAATCAGTGCCAATTTCCTTTCTCAGTACATCAATCATCTCTCCACACCGATCTCTTATCACAGCAACGAAAGAGCGCAGCCAACACTGTGACAGACAGCTTCACAAGTTGTTGAAAACATTCTGCTAGAGTGGAACACCTGGAATACAAAAAGTATTTATTTGTGTGCTATCAACTCATCCTCACCCTGTCCTGCTAACCAGAACCAGTGCAGCAGCCAAACAACAGGATGCTTCAGCCTCAATGAGTTTTTTCTTTTTATTCTGATCTAAATATTTCTAAAACAGCCCAGAGGAGTCCGGACTGCAGTGAGCCTACAAGGAGAAGATCCAAGTGACAAGTAAAAAATAAAAAGTTAATCGCAGAGATGCTATTCCAGTGAAGCACTTTAAATGGAGAATCATCTGATGGTGGACAGTTGTTCTGCAGCAAAACCTCAAAGATTCTTCTTGCACAAAAGTGTAGGCAGTGTGTGTGTTTGTGTGTGTGTGTCTGGGTGTTTGTGGGCTGCAGGGTGATGGTGTGTGGGTGCAAGTATCCAACAGTTTCTGCACTACAGTTGAGCAGAAAGATTTCTTTCCAGCCCCTGAAGCTGTTTGGAGCCACATGTCCTAAAGCAGCTATATTACCTCGAAACGATCTTCATCAAACACAAAACTAAAAATCTAGAAAGAAGAACAATCTGACTCTGTGTGCTTTTATCGCTGTAACTGCTGGCCCTCTGAAGCTGGTGTGAGACGACTACAGTAGCATATAGTGTAATGTGCTATGTTATTCTTTCAAATATTGCTTTCGTGTTTCATCGTGATGTATGTAACTGTAACTTTTACCAGGTAAACAGCAATGGCAGCTCCCAGCACCCACCCACAGTATACATCAACAGGGTGGTTTCTAAACTGGATGATCCTGGTTAACCCAGACAGGATGGCCAGCATGGCGAAGGAGAACACTAGGAGAGGCTTCAGCAGCTTAGCTGAGTCAGTCAACACCGTGTTGAAGTACATCTGAAACACACAAACTCACGTTAACAAATGTTTGTTTAACAGGCCTCATTCAAACCTGCTATTAATGTGTATTAAGTAACATGTGTGACTGCAACAAGCCATAACGGTTAGAACAGGACTGTGGTCACACTGAAGTGTTGTTCTTCATATGTGTAAATGCAGTAACCACTTACTGAGATGTAGACAGCAGCAAAGGCAGCCAGCGTAGCATGCTGGGAGGGGAAAGATTTCCTATAAAGCAGAGCGGCAGAGTGTTCTTGATGTTAATTATCATGTTCAGACAGCTGAGAACAATGCTGAATATTCATGTGCAACAGAAAAATGGCTTTCAAAGAAACTTGGACGTGTGACGTGTGCGTGCTGACAAATCTGCCCGAGCAGGTGTTCAATAAGGAGGAAGGATAACCAGAAGGGCAACGGCTCAACCTGGTTTTTAATATCTGCTCTAGGTAAATGCAGCTTCTTAGCTAAAGCTTGATCTGTTGTCCTTAATATACCAAGTATGACCCAGTATTGTTCAGTAAAATGATTAAATGGGTCACTGAGTAGGTCTGTTTAATCTGTTTACAGATTTGCATAAAGGTTGCCTTTAATAATTATATTTTCATAACAGAAAGAACATTTTAATAATCTGAAGGAAATGGTGTTTGGAAAAAGATGCTCGAGATGACTGACAATGCCTTCTACATATAAATTTCAGTGACGTTGGTCAGCAGTTTGGCGTGTGCAGGCACAGTCTGTTACGCTCAACGTAAAACATACAGTTTGGATTGTGGCTCTTGTTCAGTGCTTTATTATTAATGAAATGACAACATTTCTTTCATTCTATAGCTTCTGCTGTCCAATGTGTGTGCACTTTACAACTTGAGGCAGTACTAGTGTTTTGTGCAAAAACACACCCACATGCATCCACTCTCCCACACACAGTAGATCAAAGCCTCACCTGCCAGCATTGATGAGCCCTATGTCCTGTCCAGAGCAGATATCCTCTAGGATAAACGCTTCATCGCAGGTGGACATGTTAAGGTGGGTCAGGTTAGGTTTGCATACATCCAGCCAATAGGGAGTATGCTGGCCAGTGGATAGCTGAAGAATGTCTGTTATCAGTGCTGTCACACACAGGCCAAAGATATGGACACCTGTAAAAAAAGAAAGCTTTTACAACAGAGAACACTATACGCATTCATATAATACACCAACATATAATAGTCATATTACATAACATCGTTATTCAGTGGCTCCTATTAAGTGCTTGTTTATCTGCTCCAGACATGACAAGAGAAATTCTGTCCTCGTTCACAAACTTTATTTACGTGTTGGAGAATCAAAAATGTGCACGTACATGGATCAGAAAACCGCAGTCTTCAAGCACTTATCTGTAGGGATGGGTACTGGTATCCGGGGCACCGGTTCTGACATAAATGGTAGTAACCAGACCGAAAAGCAGCGCACATTTCGGTGCTTTATTTCGGTGCCTTTT